CCTTAATGAGTGTGGCTCTAACACCCTGCACTGGCCCCCCCCACGGGGCCCCCACTCCCACTCGGTCTCTCTAATTTGTATTAAGTATCCCTTCCTCGCAGGCTTTCCTCCTCCCCTTCTTCTCCCTTCTTGTCTCTTTTGTGAGTGAATAATTTATGGCACTTTTCATCTTCCTGGCTGTTGTTCCAGGCGGGCGGCGGTGGGATGCTCTATGCCCTCCTGACGGCCACTCCCAGGCTGGGCGTGCAGCTCCATCCTTTTCCGGTGCCACGGCAGGCTGGAAATGGGACAGACCCACCCATGAGCCACAGGAAGACTCAGGTGTGGCAGAATCACTGCCATCACCCGTGGAGCCATAGCAGGCAGGGCAATGGCTGGTGGATCCATGACAGCCCATGGGGCACCAAGAGTCACTGGTGGGACCTGGCATGGCTGTGACACCCACAACCGCCCAGGCAGGTGGGCAGCAGCCAAGGGAGGGCTGCCCCAAGGCCAGCCAGGGGTCCCATGGCAGCGGGGTGTGGGCAGAGCCGGGTGGACCCCGGCCCACTGCATGGTGCGGGGCTGCGGCGAGGTTTCCGTGGGCCGCTGGCTCTTACATAAGCTCATTGTTTCCTGAGTCAAAAGAGGTTTTGTCTCCGCTCTGGAGATGTGACAGGAGGAGGAACAATTTGCCCCATTCATCTTTAACTCTGCTCTGGAGAGTGGTGCGGTGGCCTGCGCCGGCAGAGACGTTAAACCCAACCACTTCCCCGCCATAAAATCTCCCGGGGAGCAGGTGTTGGAAATCGCCCCTTCCCCTCCTGATCTCCTCAAATCCAGTGCCACAGAAATCAAGGATAATCCAGCAGCCTCTTCAAAATGAAAACGCTGAGCCCTGATTAATTCATTTAATAAGTGACTGATCCCCTCCTCCCCCAGCACCGTGGCCCAAGAAGCCATTTTGCTTCTTGCTCTCCTGGGCTGATGCCGGGGAGATGCCGGGGAGATGCCGGGGCTGCAGCAGAGGCACCAGGCTGCTCCCCCACAGCCACCTCACCAGCCTCACCACGTGTCTTGTCGTGCTCTGGCCTCTGCAGAGGGGCCAAAGAGGGCAGCACTCCATGGACCTCAGGGCCAGCTGCTTCTGTTGGGCTCTCCAGCCTCACCTCTCCTGCACAGTCCAGGGGCTGCTCCACCTCCATGCAGCCCAAGGAGCCCCAGCTCAAGGGGATTAAACAGGAGAACGAAATAGTCCCGTTTTCCAACCGAAAGATCAAACCGGTTAGAAGTGACATTGTTTTTGCAGTTCCATCTGCTTCAATTAGGGCACGGGGGTGGAGCAGGGGGGCTCCCAATTATCCTCATTAGAGGGGCTCCTCGTGCAGCCAAGCTCCAGCCGTGAGCAGGGAGCTCACCAGGCTCGTGCTGGTTGATAATGAATATATTCATGGCTGCGCAGCCTGGCCTTGCTCGCCTGCTGCTGCTGGAGCCCTGCTCCTGACATGTGCTTTGGGCACTGCTGGGAGATGAGGAAAACCTCTTCAAGCTCTGGAGCTTGGTGGGTTTTGCTGAAATGGAGTGTGGTCAACACAGCCCCACCACTGCTGAGAGTCCTGACACAGCTGCCAAAGCCAGGCAGGAGCCTAATTCTGGTCCCAGTACCCAGGCTGGGAATGCTCCTGCTCCCTCTCCCCCGGGTCCCGCTCCACACCTCCTCTCAGGAATGGCTGTGGGCTGGAGATAACCCAGTGAAGCTGCCCAGGGAGCAGCTTCATCCCCATCCCTGGCCCATCCACCCCAACAAGGAGATTGCAGCTCCCTCCTGAGCTCATCTGCATTTTCAAGCTGGCTCAGGCCATTCTCACTTGTACCAAAGTACTCACCAATTTGAATTTGTGGCCATTTCTCTGCTAACAATACTGAAATTAACCCACCACTTTGTGTGTGGAGCTTCTGTGAGAGCATAACATAAAAATACAGAAATAAGAAAATATCTGTAGCTTATGGGTTTAAAAACCTCATTATTTACATACATCCATCCTTGTATAAACTAAATTGTTCTTTTAGTAGGTGCTGGCTACTGATATTAGATTCCCATTTCATTTCCTTATCCCACCTGGCAGGTTCCAAGAGACATCTTCTTTGTTTGCAATATCTTTTGCCTGTAGCAAACCCAGGGTTTGTAAATGCAGCAGCATCGGGTGGAAACCTGACGTGCATCTGCTGCTGTGTGTGTTTTGTGTGACACAAAAGAAAACCTGAGACGTGGAGGAATCGGGGCAGTCCAGGTGTCACCCCCAGGATCCTGTCTGGTGTCAGCAGCCAGTGCAGGACTGTCCCTGCCTGCAGGAATGGGGGGCCAGACTTGGGGGCTGTGAGGAGGCTGGAGGTGGATGGGCAAGGGCAGAGTGGGATGCCCAGGGGGAGTGGGGGTAGTTAAGGCAGATTGGGGATGTCTGGGGTTGCTCATAGCAGGTTGAGGATGCTTTCATCCCTGCAGGAGTGCCCGCAGGAGGTTGGGGATGCCCAGGACAGGTTTGGGGATGTTCAGGGCACCTGCACATTGTTCTCCCAGGTGACCAGAGAGGCAAAGACCTCTCTTGGTGTCCTTGCCTGGCAGGGATTTTGTGCCATGGTGGGCCCCCAGCCCTGCTGGTGCAGGCAGCCATGCCAGGGGAGCTGAGGGAGGAGGTCCCACCATCATCCTGGCCACGGCGCCGATTGGCCCAGTGCTGTTGCTGTGGCTGTGCCCGGGCCGATGGCGGGGCCTGGCCTACAGCTCGTGCCTCCGTGCATGGGAATAATTCTCCTTAATCCTTCCGAGAGGCATCACTGGATGAGACTGGAGCCTCCCTCTGGGAGCCCCATCTCCCCTGGCGCAGAGAGCAGTGCTGGGGGAGGGACAGCCGCCATCCTGGGCAGGGAGGCCTCTGTGCCCCCGGCCACCTGCCCGCTCCTGCTGGGGCCACAGCCAAGCCAGCATTGCTCCTGCACCCGTGCTGAGGGACAGCAGAACCCTGGGGGCTCAGCACCACACCAGTGCCCTGGGCCAGGAGGGGTGTGGGGAGCAGGAGGTGGCAGTGCCCCCAACACCCTGCCCCTCCAGATGCAGCAGGAACCTGTGGACATGGTCTGGGATGCAGCCCCACCATTACAAACACTGGGACAGGAGACTGGAGCTGGTTTTGGAGAGGTGGCTTGGAGGGTGCCCCTGGATAAGCGCTGGCTGCTGAGCCCCTCTGGAGCCCCGCACTCCCTGGCACAGAGAGCTGGCACCGAGGGCTTTTGCCAGGACCCAGCCCCATGGTGGGGCGGGTGACGCCTGCCACCGGCCCGGAGCACCCGGCACATAAACACCACCCCGGGATTAGGTCAGCTCTGGTCATCGCTCAGACGAATAAGTGGATCAGCGCAAGGGAAAGGAGGGGGAGGGAGCTCTGCTGAGCGGGGAGCTCCAGTAGGGGCCTTTTAATTTAGGGGCTCATGGGGCCAGGAGCCGCCTTGGCGCAGGCGCTAGGCTGGGCAGCGAGCGCTGCTGGGGTGACTGGGGACACGCGGCAGCAGCCCCGGCCGGCCCCACGGTGGGCTGGGATGCCCGAGCGTCCTCAAGTGTGTTTATTTTAAGGGATACAAAGTCCTGGGCCACCGCAGGGTCACCGCAGCACTCGCCCAGCCTGGCAGGAAAGTTTCCCGCAGGTGCTGGCAGGGAGAGGAGGAGGAGGAGGGTGGATGGCAGCAGCTGGGCACCATCCCGCCGCCCTACTCCCACACACCTTTGGACCGGGCGCCCATGTGCCAGGAGCCATCGGTCGGGGCTGCGGCCGCCCCACAGCCCCGGCCCATTGTCCCAGGGTGGCCGGGCCGGGTGTGGGGACGGCCATCTGCTCCTCGCTGCCGACAGCTTCTTTGTTCACCGCCCGGCGCACGCTGGCGCAGGAAGCGGCTCCCACGTGCTTCGCCCTTTCCCTCTCGCAGAGGCACCTAATGAAATAAAGGATTTACTGCGGCGAGGGGGAGGGAAGGGAACAGGCTGAGCAGTTTGAAATGTCGTGCCTGGCCCCAGGGCCGGGCTCCCTGGCCAGGTGCAGGCAGGGTGGGTGCAGGCAGTGCTGGGCTCTCTGCCACTGCTGGGCTGTTCTTGGGGAGCCGCCGTAGTGGGAGCAGGCACAGGCAGGGGGATGGTGCCAGGGCCTGGGGTGTGAATGCAGCCAAGATCTGTGCACTGGGTGTGCGTGGCACTGCCATTGCCAGGGCCCTGACCTGTTTGTGTGGTGGGGAAAAGGCCTTGCATGTGCTGTGGGGATGGCTCTAGGGCATGTGAAAACTGGGAACAGGAGTGTAGGGTGTAGGTCACTTGGGCTTTGAGTGAGACAGGAAGGACATTGTGCAGCCCCTGTCCCCTCCCTGCAGCAGCATGCCAAGGAGGAGCCTTGCTGGGTGGTGCCAGCTGTGAGCAGAGCTCCTAATGCTGCTTTCAGACACCATGGATTCACGGTTTTCCCACCCAAGTGAGGTTGTCCTTGTGTGTTATCCCCATGGGCCAGCACTCTGCAGAACTTCATGTTCCTTAAACACCAGTGCTGGAACTTGTCACTTCCCATTGCACCCAGCCCCAAACTGGGCCAGGAGGATGGCAGGGGACCTGGCAGGGAGAGGCAGTGCCCCTTTCTCCTCCCTGCAATGCAAACAGAAACTGAAAAGGACCAAATTCCAAAGTTCTTATTCAAGCCCAAGGCACCATGGCCGCGGGCGGAGGCGTGGGGACTGTCACCTGCAGAGGGATGGGTGGCTCGGGCATGGGGCACGGCAGCACCTGGTGTGCTTTGAGGGATGAGGGAGTAGATCCCTGTGACAATGGCCTTGAAGGCAGGGACACCACCTATGCTGCATCCCAGGGCCCAAAGTGCAGCAGTGCCAGCCTGGCTCCCAGTGGCAACTCAGCCACCAAGTGACCCCAGAGCAGCTTTAGGAAGGTGGTCATAGGGTGCCAAGGGGGTGACACACATTGTTCCTTGCAGATGACTCCTCGTCAGAGAGCTGCAGCGGGAATGGCTCCTCCACCCTGAACCCCTCCACTTCCAGCAGCACGCAGGGCGACAGCGCCTTCCCCGAAATGAACGGCAATGGCACCGCAGCCCCCATGGACTTCACCACCTCTGCCGAGGACCAGCCCATCAACCTCTGTGACAAGCTCACCCCTGCCCACATCACCCCTTCCTACCAGTCTGACAGCTGCAGTGCCGACGGGCTGCGCAGCAGGGTCAAGTACGGGGTGAAGACCACAGCAGAGGTACGGCCTGGGATGCTCTGGGAGAGACAGGGATGCACCCCACACCCCAGCTGCTCCAGGGCTGGGCACTGCAGTGAGCTCACCTCACCCCTGACCAGCTGTGTCACAGCCACCATGTGACAAAGAGCCCATTCATGCTGGGTCAGTCAATGTTTGCCACAGGATCAGGCAGAGCCATGGCCCCACCAGCCAGAGCTGTCATGAACCACCAGGTTATCACAGTCTTGCTGAGGCCACCATGCTCCCCCCTGCCCAAAGCAGGCAGGAGGTGACACACCTGGCCATGGGTTCATCTCCCTGGGTTGCAGGGGAGGGGTCAGACATAGCGAGACAAGGAGAAAGGGCAGGTGCATGAGGTGAGAGCTGCTGGTGGTAACCCCTGTCTCCTCTCAGTCCCCGCCGTACAGCTCTGGCAGCTATGACTCCATCAAGACAGAGGTGAGCGGCTGCCCCGAGGACCTGACTGTCGGCAGGGCCCCTACAGCTGATGAAGATGATGATGACCACGATGACCATGAAGACAATGATAAGATCAATGACTCGGAGGGGATGGACCCGGAGAGGCTAAAGGCCTTCAATGTAAGGAGAGCTCCACAAGGAGGGTGAGCCCACCTGCCTTCCGTCTCAGGGTTCCCACCACGTCTCTTCTCATTTGCAGATGTTTGTGCGCCTTTTTGTGGACGAGAACTTGGACAGGATGGTTCCCATCTCCAAGCAGCCCAAGGAGAAGATCCAGGCCATCATCGAGTCCTGCAGCCGGCAGTTCCCCGAGTTCCAGGAGCGGGCGCGCAAGCGCATCCGCACCTACCTCAAGTCCTGCCGCCGCATGAAGAAGAACGGGATGGAGATGGTGAGTGGCCACCCCAGTGCCCTGCCCTCAGTCCCAGTGCCCAGAGCAGCACATCCCTGAGCAGCCCCTCTGCTTGTGTCCCTGCAGACCAGGCCCACGCCGCCCCACCTGACCTCAGCCATGGCAGAGAACATCCTGGCCGCCGCCTGTGAGAGCGAAACGCGGAAAGCAGCCAAGAGGATGCGGCTGGAGATCTACCAGACCTCCCAGGTACAGTGCTGGCAGCTGGGGGTGGGCAGGGAACAGAACTGGCAGTGTCCTATGGTGGGGTCAAAAGTCTTTCTGAAAGTCTGAGGGGCTGCAGAGCAGAGCCCTGCGGTGTGTCCTCAGCCAGTGGGGATGGGAATGCTGGTTTGGATTGGGCACACTGCAGCTGCAGGACACCAGGCATCCCTGCACTGTCCATCCTGCTGGCCGCAGAGGACAGCCAGGCTCCTCGCTGGAGCAGGTCTGTGTTTCCCCTGTGCAGGACGAACCGATCGCTCTAGACAAGCAGCACTCCAGAGACTCCACAGCCATCACCCACTCCTCCTACTCACTGCCAGCTTCATCTTACTCCCAAGACCCAGTCTACATCAATGGAAGCCTGAACTACAGCTACCGTGGCTACGGGTCCCTGGGGGGCAGCCTGCAGCCCCCCGCATCCCTCCAGACGGGCAACCACAGTAACGGTGAGTGGCTGTGCCAGGGGCACGGGGAGCCCACCCTGGCATCACCTCTGCCCCAGTGCACCAGGGGCTCCTGCCATCCCCACTGTGGGGTTGAGCTGGTTGCTGGAGGAGAGGCAGGGGCTGCTCCCACAGCTCCCACAAAGCTCCCAGTCCTGGCAGCACCTCTCCCACCACTGCACAGAGCTGCTCTCAAATCCCCTCTTGTCCCTTCTGTCTGGTGGCTCTGCTCACGTCATCAGCAGGTGGTTAATTGTTGAACTGCACTTGGAAGGACGGTTTGGGTGGCACTGGTGGAGGGAAGGAGTGTCACTTAAAAAAAAAAGGAGAATTCGTACCAGATTCTCTGTTAATTATTAACAGGGGCGGGCGCCTATCGCTGCCCTGATCTCCTGCTGGTATGAGCAGCTCTGCTCTCGGGGATGGGGACAGGGTGGGGGGCACAGCCACAGCTCAGGAGGGCTCTGAGGGGCTGGGGACTGCGTGGGGACAGCTGAGAAAACAGGGCTGATGCTGCAGGGCAGGAAGGTGGAAGGAGAATGTAGGCAGAGCTTGAGATTAGGAAATAGTGAACAGAGCAGAGTATCCTGGAGCAGGGCACACAGGAAGGCTCTCAGGTACCTGGTGACTCGCCCACACCTGGAGCAAGAGGTGTGGGATGAGATCAAGTGCTCCCTCTGGCTCTGTCCTGCAGCAGTGGTGGCAGGAGGGGCTGGAGCCCTTGCCAGTCCTTGTCCAGTCCTCCTGCAATCCCTGGGTTGCCATTGCCTGTCCTGGTGCACTCTGGGCTCCTGCCCCAGCCCACCCCGACGGGAGCCAGGATTTGGAAGGATGTGATTTCCGGAGGCCTGAGAGATGCCTGTCTGGGATTAACTCTTATCATCCCTTCCTAATGCTTCTTAACCCTGAATAAAGATCCTGTCCCGGCCTCCAGCTGCTGAGACCTAATCCTCACAGCAATGGTTCCTCCCCAGAACAGCACAGCCACCCGGTCCCCACTGCCAGGCACCCTCCTTGGGCTCCTCCGTGTGAGACAGTGAACATGCAGGAAGGTCCCTGAGCAGCCCCAGGAGGAGCAAACAGGCCCTGGGTGCAGCACCCAGCAGCACCTCGCCTTATTTCCTTCTAGGGGGTTTTTAAACCTCTGATTTGCAGTTGTCTTTTTCCCAAGCTCTTGCCCAGTCCTTGAGAGGGAAGAGCACTCTGCAAGGAGCTGCATCTTCTCCTCCCTCTGAGCAGAGGCCCCGCAGGGCATTGCTGCCCAGAAGTGTCTTCACCCTCCATCCCCCACCTCAGGCAATTCTTGCTCAAGCCCACATCCCTGCTCCCAGTTCCTTCCCCCTTGGTGAGCTGGGAAACAAGCTCAGGCTCAGTTTACTGCTGCCTTTTCTGCCCAGTGAAATTGCTTTCGCATGAGAGCCTCCTCCTTCTCCTCCTCCTCCTCCTTCTCCTCCTCCTCCCCCGCTTTGAAGCTCTGGTTCTCTTGGCATGGAACACTTCTGCTGGTGCTGCTCCTCCCGCAGCTCCAGCATTGCTTTCCTTGAATGCTTTCCATTCTGCCCGGGGCAATGAGCTTCCCTCCCTGCCACCATCACCCGTGCCCCCCACCTGGACTCGGGGCAGCTGAATTCTCCCATCCTGGTTTGCAAACAGCCACAGCACCCAGTCCTTGCTCCGTGTGCCTGGTGTCCCATGGCTGAGTCAGGCCACCCAGCAGGGGCTCAGCCATCCCAAAGCCTTTTTCCAGCGTCACCAACTGCTCCATCAGCCTGCAGCACTTCAGCTCACATCCCAGGGATTGGTTCAGTGTCTTCTCTCCTTCCCTCCAGGCTGCAGCCTCAGCAGCCTCCTCTCCCTGACTATCACCACATCTCTAGTACATCTCTTGGCACTTTTCTCCTCATATCCGATTGATTGTGGTTTTTTGCTCTTTGTTTTCCTTCTCTTACTTGGCCCATCATGAAGCTAAGTCCACTTTTTCTCCCGCTTTTCTTTCTGGGGTCACTCATCAAGATAAAGCAGGAAAGCACAGCCCATGTGGGATGTTACTCCCCATATGCAGAGGAAGAACCAGAACCTTGAAGGTGATTTTGATGGTGCAGGTGCCAACAGGAGCTGGCTTACCTCCCAGCAGACCCTCTCTTCACAGAGCTGTGAGCCAGGCTGCAGGATGGGATTTTTGTCATATTGGCTCTGAGACCTCCTTATAGAATCGTTTGGTTTGGAAGAAGCCTTGAAGTTGACTTCACTCCAACCCCCTGCCACAGGCAGGGACACTTTCCACTAGAGCAGATTGCTCCAAGACCTGTCCAGCCTGGCCTTGAACAATTCCAGGGATGGGGCAGCCACAGCTTCTCTGGGCAACCTGTGCCAGAAACTCGCCAATCTCACAGAGAATAATTTCCTCCCAGTATCCCATCTAAGCCTTCCCTCTGTGAGGTTGAAGCCATTGCCCTTTGTTCTGTCATTCCATGCCCTTGTCCAAAGTCCCTCCCCAGCTGTCTTGGAGCCCCTTTAGGTACTGAAAGGAGCTCTGAGGTCTCTGCAGAGCCTTCTCCAGGCTGAACAACCCCAATTCCCTCAGCCTTTCCCCCTAGCAGAGGTGCTCCAACCTTTGCAGCATCTCTGTGGGCTCCTCTGGACCTGTGTTCCTGTTGCAGAGGCAGTGAGTGGCTGCTCTGATGTCTGAGAGGGAGCAGGAGCTCCTCGCGTTATCCGGGCACTGTGGGTACCTTCCAAGTGCTGCAGAGGTCTGGAATCACAGCAGGATGAGCATGGGAAATGTTGCTGTGCCTGAGCTTCCCTCTCACTTTTCCTTGTCAGGTCCAACGGATCTCAGCATGAAAGGTGGGGCCTCCAGCACAGCCCCGTCCAACAGCACCAGCCGGGGCATGCAGGCGGCGCAGCTCAGCCCCACGGAGATCAGCGCCGTGCGGCAGCTCATCGCCGGCTACCGGGAGTCGGCGGCGTTCCTGCTCCGCTCTGCAGACGAACTGGAAAACCTCATTTTACAGCAGAACTGACTCCCCGTATCTGCATCGCTCCTCGGTCGACAAGACAATTTGTACCTGCTAGAAAGAGGCTCCCGGCGGTGTCCTGCTCAGGACCAGCATCGTCCTCCCGCCACGCGGTGGGCACATGTAGTTTTAGAAGGTGGGATCCTAAAGACCTGTTTTCTTTTACACTCCAAGCACCTGGGACTTCAGGCACAAGGACACGTTTTGGAACCGTACCAACAGCCGTGCCTCCGGCCGACCAGAAGCCAACCCTGCAGCTTGGAAGGATGTGGGACTTTGAAGGGCAGAAGGGAGCCTGGGGAGGTTTGGGGCTGCAGATGTATTTAGAATAACCTTTGTGGACCCAAATGTTAGATTCCCATCCCTGGATAATTTCCAAGTCTTAGGTGAGCTGAATCACATATTTATTGAGAAATGGACCCTCCTCTTCCCTTAGTAATTTATTTTTCTGAAAATGGATTCTTTTGAGTTTGTACAGATTGCCAGTTTTTTGTCTGTCTGATCAGAAGGAATTTATTCCTGTGAAATAACACATTCCATATCACTACACTACTAATTTCCAGGCAGCTCTGCCTGTTTCTCTGGTGAACCCTTGTCCCACAGGGAGCAAGTTTGCCATCCAGCCCTTGACATCGAGGCTGCTCAGCCTCCAGTGAGCGTAGGTGGGAGCTGAACAGCAGTGCAAGCGTCCTGCTTAGGCCTTTGTTCTAAGAGGTCCCGTAGCAGCAGTGGGGTCTGAACCTCCCGCAGAGACTCGGCAAGCTCAGCAGACCTCCGGCTGGAAGGACATCTCGCACTCATTGAAGTCATTGCAGATAAGAGAAGGAAGGAAGAAAGGAAGGAGATACCTGAGAAACACTGTCTTGCGGTCACCATCCGTACTCTACCTCACACTCCATTGTGGGCTTCTTCCAGGACTGGCAGTGCCGGTCCTGGGGGTCAGTGGGTGCTGCAGACATGGGGATCGTGCCGAGGAGGCTGGAACCTCCGGCTGGGTCCTGCTGCGCCCGGCCGTGTGCTCCGCTCCGTCTGCAGCCAGCCCGGGGAGTGCGGGGGCTGAACCGCCCGGTCCCGCGGGGTGTGAGGCTGGGCAGCCCCAGGGCTCAGCCCAGAGCTGAGCTGGAGTGGTGACCGCCCGCTTCTGGGCAGCACTGAGCAGCAGAACTGACAAAAGTCCTCTCCGGGGCCCAGGATCCTTCCCCCTCCCTGCTCACAGTCCTGGAACAAGCCCACAGTTCCCAAAGTGTGGAAGAACCGTAGTCCAATGATCATTCTGCCCTGTTTCCACCCCCCAACAACGATGCACTTCGTTTTGCTCAGTGCAATACCTACTGCCAGTGCTGCTAACCCAGGGACCTCGCTCCGGCCAGGGGTGCTGAGCCCAGCCCAGCCATGCAATGTGCTCTGGAGCTGTGCAGAGACCAGCGAGGGTCCCGCTGCTCCCTGTCCCCCGCAGCCCCCCCACTTGGCTGAAGTCCACACCATGAGATAGAAATCTGATAAGTGTAAAGCTGTTTTGTAGGTAGGAACTTTCTTGGTTTGGAGCCAGTTTTTATCTTATTTTTTGGCCACTCGGAGCCAGCGGCCAGGGGCTGCTGCTCCAGGGGCCAACGCTGGTGGCACAGGCTTGAGCAGCCGCTGGTCCGGCCAGGAGCGGGCCCGGGCAGTTCCCCTGTACCCTCTGTACCCCATGATGCTCCACACACTGGAAGAAAAACAAAACTTTACCCTGCTCTTAGTCTCAGAACAGAAAAAGCTGCTGGCTCCTGAGGCCAGGTGTGCCTGGCCCCACAGCAGAAGGGATCAACCATTGCATTGACTGTTTTCCCCAAACCTTAAAACTTTCTGTAGCATTTGGAGAAAAGGGACCCAGCCCCTCGCCGCGGGGTGCAGCTGAGGGGTCAGTGCAGAGACAGGTGATGGTGGCTCTTAGACCTGACCCGATGCTGGAGCCAGGAGCATCGTGGCCACACCCATCCCCTCCTGCCGAGCTGGGGAGGGGGCCCCGGGCACACCAGCCCCCAGCCAGGGCTCAGACTCAACGCTTTCCCCAGCACTTCAGAAGCCTGCTTGGTTTGTCCACTGCATCCTCCCATACTTGGAATTTATGTAAATATTTATTTTTGTGTGAATACCATGAAGTAACAAACCTTTGACAAAATCTGTAACTGCAGCCATTTGTGAAAGTCTTACCGTTCAGGCAGGAGAGGCAGAGACAATCGCTGTCCCGGGATTCTCCCTCTCCATGGTCTCCCACCCACGCCGGTGCCTCCCTCCTCGGCAGAGGCAGAGGAACCTTTAGCCATAAGTTTGCCATCAGTTTGTACTGAAACAGAGGTAACCCGGGGGCATATGGACAGACCACCAACAGCCACAGTTGGGTTAAGTTTTATTTATCCAAGTCATTCCTGATCACCTCTGAACCTGTCTCGGCACATGTGGAAGTTCAGGAGCTCTCACACGTGGTCAAACTGCTGTAGAGGACACCGAGGCCGCGTCGTGAAGGAGGGTGCCCAACACCACCCTGTCCCAGCACCTGATGTTCATAACCTGCAGCTGAATGGTACAGACTCAGATTCCCAAAGCCCTGGTGACAGCCACATCTGGGACAAGTTTTAAAACAAACGGGATTGACTCCGAATTTCTGTCAGGGATCTTTTTATTTTTCTTTCCCCTCCTTTTTTTTTTTCCCCTTCTTTTTTTTTTTATTTTTTAAATTTTTTTTTGGTGAGCCACAGCATTCTGGTTCCTTTGGCATGAGCTCCACAGACATCTCCATGCTCTGCAGCTGCTCCGTGCTCCACCGTGGCTCTCCCTGTGCTCCAGGACTGTTCACAGCCACATTCCTGCGCTCTCACTGGGCAGGACGGGGTCAGGAATTGCTAGTCCAGGTTCTCAACAAGAAGGAACAAGCAGGAGCAGAATACACCGGCTTTCCAGATATCTGAGAGGTGGAAGGAGAATGCTGGGTTAGCAAATGGTCTGGATGGTCTTGGGTTTGGTTAAGAAAAGCTGATCACTGGTCAAAAAAAAGAGATTTTTTTTTTTTTTTTTTTAAATTTTATTTTACTTCTCCACACCCATCCTGCCCTGGATGTGCGGTTCCCATGATGCTGTTTCTCTATGGGAGAGCATTCCCGGGGTTGTGAGCAGATGTAACTTGTACCTCCCCGATCCCAAGGGCCACTTCCCTCCCGGAGCGGCCGTCGGATTTAGTACCAGTTCATGGAAAAAAAAAATGCTGCTTTGAACTCAGAGGGTTAATATACTTTTGATTTGTAATTTTTTGTAAAACTTTTTACAAGGTAGCATAGTATTTCACCAGACACCAACTACAATCCGTCCATGGTCTGATTTTTATATAATTTAGTGGTGCTTTAGAAACTTTTGTTCGGTTGTTTCGGAGCTGCACAGCTCAGTTCTTCGCCTGTATCTACCTAAGACCAATGTGAACCTTTGTATTTTTGCTCCTAATTTTGGACTCAGTGAAAGTGTACTGTTTACATGTACAGAACTCCCGACCCCGTGTGTTCTGCCAGACCTGCTGTTGAAGAGGAAGCTGCCCCTCACCCAGTTCGTCTGCTTAACCCAGCCACAGCCTCACCCACCCACCGCCACGCGCCCGCCCCAGGGACACCCCACCAAACCCACACACCTTTTAAGCAATTTTGGGTTTTGCACAAGCTGCTGTATTTTATTTTCCCCCGGTAGTTTTACAGATCGGCTGCAATTCCAATCGGGAGCTGATCCGGGGCTCTGAAGCACCAGATCTGGGCAGTGCTGCTGCCTCCCCATCCTCCTCCTCCTCGTCCTCCCACACGGGCGGGAGGGCAGTGCTGCCCGTCGGGTCCAGCTGATGTCGGGGAGCAGGGGGAAGCACTCCTGAGCAGAATTGGGAATACTTTAGGGAAGGGGGTGAGCTCGCCCAAGCCGGCTGCTGGCTTGGGGTGGAGGTGGGAGCGCGGTCCCACGGGAGGCTCCCAGCGAGGCAGAAGAGGCTTTTGGGAAGCTGGTGCTTTCCCGAGGGCTCAGACAGAAAGCGTATGGCACTTAATCCAGCTTCTAAGGTGACACTTTATTGCTTAATCAATTGATTCCTTTGGAAATGATATTTTTGCAGATAGGCACCTATGCAACTTCATGTGGCTCTTAAGCAGATGAGCACTTCCTCCTCAACGAGCTTGATAAGAGTTATTTGTGTTATATACTGTGGATTTTTCCAGTAAATGTGGCTTAATATTTTAATTCTTAGAATGTGTGTCTATTATATATGTGATGCAACTTAATTCTGTTCTGTTTGTGGAATGATTAGCACAGGCCAACTCCCTGTCCCCTCACTTAACAAAGACCAATGAGCTGTTAATCGAGCTGTTATCTCCATGGTATTACTTGCTAAATGCACTGATTTCATAAGTATGTGGAATCCTTTTTTTTTTTTTTTTTCTTTTGAATCTGTATATCATATATAAGACTGAATCTACTTAATAAACACTGTATAACAAAAAGGGCTTTCTCCTCCACTGTCGAGCCCCGCTGGGTGCTGCTGGCCCCAGCGCTGCCCCTCGCCCCAGGCTCTGTGCGAGAGGTTGGTGCCATCAGTCACCAGAGCGGGATCTAAATTTAGGTGTTAAAAGGAAGAAAAAAAAAAAAACAAACCAAAACATCTCTCATTCCTGTTGACATAAGCTGTGCTTTCCATTCCGTAACAGACAGCGTGGGTACCAGAGAGAGCAGTGGCAGCACTCGCAAAGGGGGCAAGGCACCAGTTTTATGCTTAACTTATATTTTGACAAAATTAATTTTGTGAAGTGTCTGGTTTTTGTGAGAAAAAAAAAAAAGAAAAAAGAAAAAAAAAGTTTTCATTGAAGTTTGTGCAAAGTTCTCCCTCATGGAAAATACTGATTTTTCGTTATCAGCTTTATTCACTAAGTATAATAAACCTTTGCATCCATAAATGTTCCTCTTCAAGCACTGTATAGATACCATCTCCTGGTTTGATCATCAGGAGACCCAGAGGGTCCAAGGGGTTTGCAGCTTCCATGGAAATGCAGCTGCCCAGGGGTGTGGGGATGCTGGCTGGGCAGAGGGGGGGGCTGCCCCTTC